GAATTCTAAAATGTAGGGTATTTTGTACAATCAATTCTTACTAGCACTCCAAGGGCCCCAAAGTTTAGAGTGTCAATTTTTAGTAACTGTGGGATTTTGTCATCAGTCTTATAGCACTCCAAGGGCCCCAAAGTTTAGAGTGCATTTTTAGACTGTGGGATTTTGTCATCAGTCTTATAGCACTCCAAGGGCCCCAAAGTTTAGAGTGCATTTTTAGACTGTGGGATTTTGTCATCAGTCTTATAGCACTCCAAGGGCCCCAAAGTTTAGAGTGCATTTTTAGACTAAACAGGTCATAAGCCATGAATTCCCAGATCCATTGTCCAGGTATGCTAACCATTAAATTAACCAATAACCACTAAATTTGTGGTAGAATTAAAGTAGTATGTGTGAAATGTTCATTAAATGCTCATAAGGAGATGACTAGTAAGAAAACATAATAATAAGAAGATATGATAAAATATGGCAAGCCCATAATTAACAAATGCTTATGAAGAAACAAATATAAGCATAAGTTTATTCTTCAATTGAAATATATTCAGTTTTTTAGCATTTAAATTACATGTGAGCTTCCTAACTAAAAATAAATGAAAGCAATCTTACTTAGGTGTTACCTTTCTTAACTTGAGGTGGCCAAAAGATGTCTTACGTTCAGCTAGGTGTCGACCAGGTATGGACCCAATGAGGAAGACACTAAAATAAAGTAGGTTTATTGAAACCTAGACAAAATACATGATTTCTTGGAATTATTGTATAGTTTTAGTTGTTACAAATACTGGGTGACATTTTGAACCAGGAAAGTATTTACATTACTATTATATCTTTACACACACTAACAGAGACCTGCAAAACATCTGCAGTCAAATGATTATCTTTAATGCAACAGTACTTCTTTAAATATAGGATTTCTAGAAAAGTACAAAAGAATTCTAATGCAGACACTGAAATCTACAAGTCCACTTGCCTTAGGCCTAACATTATTTAAGCCTTCATTAAGTATGGCGTATATTTGATAAAAAGACAAGTTAACACAATCTTGTGCACATTTTTACTTTAGTTTAGTTAGAGCTAAACTTTACTGTACTTAGTACTATTAATAAATAAACTTATAATGTTATTCTACAACCTAAATTTAGACCTTTTGAAAAACTTTGATAAGCTTTTAATATGTTGTTGTACAAAGTGCCTACTAAAGTATATTTGCATCTGCCTTTTGTTTGAATGTTAAAATAAAGTGCATGTGCATTTTCAAGATGGACAAAAACTGAGTATTATCATAATAAATATAAATATCAATTACACATACACACACACGCACATGCATATATCTATTGTATTCTCCTGATCCTCATTATAACATAAAAGTTACTTATTGTTTTACCTTGAGTTTGATAAATCATGTCCTTTAATATGTTTACACCACTCATCAATATCTGGCCGATTGTAGAAAGACAAATATTCTAGCAAATCACCTTTGAAGTTAGTGGCACTATTTCCTCTATGTGCAGATTGTTCACCGAGAAGGGAAGGGAAAAGTGGACTTATCCAAATTCTGAAAAGATATAATATATATATATATATATATATATATAAATACACACACACACACACACACAACAA